TGTGTCTGTTACCACATTTTCTCAGCTCTCACCGAACCGATTTCTTTCAATGATACGTCAAAAGATCATAAATCGTATCTAGTCGAAAACATTACCCTTAAAAATTGAAAAAAATTCCCTTGTTCCCCGTAAATGGGGGAAACCTCCAAAAAAATTACATATTTAAAAATGCCTAATTTTCAAAAATTTTTCAATTTTTTTTACTTAAAATTGCCATAACTTTTTTAAAAATAACTAAATCAATATAATTATTTTTTATATAGATGCATAATGTTATTACCTTTCATTTGGTATATTTTTATTATAAATTAAACCCTTAACCTGCCCACAAGGGGAGATTTAAAATGACAACTTTTTCACAAAAAATTAATTTGTTTAACTTAAATTTTGAAAATGTTCCGGAAGGTCTGACACTTTTATATATATCTTAAATTAAAGCTAATGTAATATGCTTTATCATGAAAAAAAAAATTTTGGACTTTATCTTATCTTTACGGTGAAAATGGCTACCGAATGCTATTTTTGTGTGAAAATTTTCGATTTTGTATTTTCCATTTTTAACTTTATTATGCTATAACTTTTTGAAAAATGTATGGATCAATATAATTCTTTTTTTTGTAGATGCATGATGTCTTTACCTATCATTTGGTATATTTTTTTTATAAATCTGACTTTTTACCTGCCCACAGGGGGGGATTTAAAATTACAACTTTTTTACAAAAAATTGACTTTTTCAACTTAAATTTTGAAAGTGTTCCGGAAAGTCTGACAATTTTCTATATATAATATAATTTTTTTATGGGAAATACTATTTTTTAATAATCTCTTTTTCATTCGACATACTTCATCTTAATGAGGATATTAATTAGGAACTAGCAGTTTATGAAGCTTTTGGAATAATCCACCAATTTTTTAAAATTAAACACTATCTGAAGATTTGCATCGAAGCGTTTTTTTTTTATAGTGATTTTAATCACTGTCAGATATCATTATACTTGATCCAGCTATGCCACGTCACCACTGTGCCGCGACCCCCCTGTGCTGGGTTTTTTAATACTAAAAATATCAATAGTTAAACAGAAAATAGGTCTTTATTGAAAAAATAGTATAATTGTTAATAATGTGCGAGGACAATCCTTAATACTAATTAAATAATATTTATCAATACATACAAACTATATGAAATTATTGCTTGTAAAGTGTAATAAATATTTCAAATAATCTCATTGTTGTTTTACTACGAGTAAAAAAATGAATCCGAAATTTTACATGGGCTAGGAACCAAAATAAAATAATTCTATTTTCAATTTTTAAAAATATTTCGGGAAGATATGCAATTTATTTCAAATAAGAAAATAACTTAACAATCTTGGGCGGGTAAATCTCGTAGTGTTGTATGTACGCTTCATATACTCAGTGTATTAAAATGTATTACATGTATAAATACCCGATATATTCATTAAAGTTGAACAAATTAATGTTTTTTTATCAAGTCGTTTTAATTAAATTAATTAAAAATCCTAGTACGGTGGGGTTGTGGCTTAATTAGAATAAGTATAGATGATTCATTACAGTAATTAACGTGATAGCCATGAAAAACCCTTCGATGAGCAGATGTTAAAATTCATTTATCCCTAAAACCTTCTATGAAATTACTAGAATAAAAAATAAATGACTACAATACAAAAATGTAAATGTTTTGGGTTATGATTTCAAAAGGTTTTTAAGAGGTTTTATGTAAAGGGTTTATCGTTTGGCTCGGGGTTTTTTGAGGTTTTGAGAAACTCTGGCACGATGGGATGATTTCGACCTCAGATTCGGATTCAGCGACCTCAAAAATTGGTTTTTGTGTAGTCATTTAAACAAGCCTTAAATATTCAATTGAAAATTTAAATCATAAAAATCGTATAAATTATGAATATATATAATTGCTTTTACGGGCGATTTCACATAGTAGAACAATTATAGAATTTTTTTTTTTATTATTGTAGTACACTACAAAAATATTAATTTAATATAGGTTAGAAATTGTCATATATCAAGAAAAAATTTCACAAATTGGATTGGAAAAGAATTATTGACATACTTATTTTTTATTTACTTAGATAGACTCTTTCAAATTCTTTCTGGACTTAAGTTTTCTAATGCTTTTTATGAAAATTATATCAAAAGAATGTTTTTTGTTTCTTATACAAATTATTAAAATTTAGGATAAATGTTTTTAAAAATTACATCATTTTAAAAATGCAGAAAATTATTTTTTAAATATCATGTTTTACGATATCATAGTTTTAGATAATTTTTTACGATTATAAAATCGAATGGTTTTACAAATTTTTAGGTTCAACCCGCTCTACATACCTACACAATATATTAAAATGCTTGTAATTCATATTACTAATCCAAATTTGTTACCGGCCCATCAACATTTTTTGTAAAATAACACTAAAAAATATTTATTTTTAAATTACATTCACATAAAAAAATTATGCTTTCAGCATAATTTAAAACTGTAAAAATTATTATTAAAAATTAACGGAAAAGTATTTGCAGAATTACTACTTTTTAATGAACTTAGTCAGACACATCGTGGAATGTATTTATCAAAATAGGACAAGTTAAAGATTTATATACGATAATTATATAATTTTATTATATAATTTTTTAAATTTATAAAATTGAGGTTTTTTACAAATTTTTAGGGTGAACTAGATAAAAATGGTCTTCTTTTGATGCATAAACCAATAAATTTTATCTAGTGAGGGCTAAGAATTTTCATGGTCAGACATAAAAAAATACACACATCATCACGAAACCTTAGCTTTTCATTGTAGTTAAAAGTTAACGTGATAATAGTTGATGTTAATCCGTTATTTATAAAACAAATTAAGTTAAAAATTATCGTCATTTCCTTGAGCTCTACCTTATAAATGGTTTGACAGGATTTTTACAATAGCTGTCAACAGATCCACAAGGGGGCTAGGTGTGTACCACTGTTGTCGTTCCCGCATGGTCACCTATCCGGGAATCAACAGCAAAACAAAGGCGGACATCAGCACAAAAGTGATGACTGAATTAACTACTGAACCCTTTTTGAATTAAGTTAAAAGTTAATTTGGTAAAATTACACTAATTAATGAGATAGTTAGTAGCAGAAGGTTTACAAAAAATATCGTTGGCATAAGATGGGCAAATTTTTGGTATCTAAATGTAATTTTCCTCTCTCTAAATTTTATTTATACAATAATACTTATATTAAGGAAATATTTTTGAACTATTTAAAAAAAATGTCTTTATTTACTCTTACATATTTAACGATGTATACTATAAATATATGCTATATAGTCGTTAAATGTGCGAAAGAGTAATACGTTAAAATAAATTCAATGTAAAATCTAAATTTAGTAATTTTATAAATATGTAAACTTAACTCTAACTTATTGTTATTGTCTGTATAAAATTTAGATTATATGTTGGAAAAACTAGACAGCACAGGTAAAGTGTACTAATTAATAAATAAAAAATCGTAACTATAGTTTTAATTAGCATAACTTCAACATAAACATCGTGTTTATGGCAAAACCGCGTAACTAAACATTTTGAAATTAATTTTTTTCGAAAAATACGCAATTTAACATAATATTAACACACTTTTAGAGTGGCTTTCGAATAAAAATTTTCTATTATTTCTTGAGATAATGAAATATCAAAAATTCTATTTATATTGTTTGTAACACAAAGAGGGTGTTTTATTTTCTACTGAATAATTTTGGGAAATCGAGTTACGTGATTTTGCCACGGAGACGATGGTAGTTAATGATTAATTGTAAAATAATGAAATTAGTGTATAAATCATATGAATGAAACAAACAAACCGAAAAGACGAACGCAGTAATAATAATCTTTGCATAACATCGAGGCACTTTCGCTGGCGACGGCGACTCGGTGCCGGCATGATCTTCGGGCGTTTATCAGCGTTGATGTCGACTGTTCGCGGGTGCGGTTCGGTTCGTCAAGTCCGGTCATGCGGCACGTTCGGACCTGTTGGTGTACATCTTCGACATTGTCACGTTGACAACAGGAAGAAGACTCCACGTGTATCATTTGCGGTGGGTTGTAGTCAGCCGTATGGTACTTGCTGGACTTTGCATCGTGGCGTATGACACGCGGTGTTGGTCAGTCATATATTCATAGTAGGGCGACGGCTGATAAAGGTGACACGAGTCGCGAGTCATTCTGTATCACGAAGCGACGCGGGACCGTGTCAATCTTATGATATAATATTTGTATAATATTAAATAAAAATCATATTTAAAATAATTGTATTTTTTTAATATATTATTTATTTTTTAATCAGTACCATTTAGACTGTTTTCATTTATGGAATATATGTGTGAAAATACTCAAAGTACACGTGGTAAGACAAAAATAAATCAAATTCTGGCATGGGTAGGCTCTACGGTATTTTAGCTTTATATTTAATTCTACTACTTATCTGTTTTATGTAAAAGTATTATTATAATTTTGACAGATTACAACTTTTATGTTACAATTACTACCATTATTTTTCTTAAAAAATATATATATTATTGATAAAATAATATTTTCGGAAGGAGGGTGAAGTGGGGTAATTGTAAATAGATTATACAATATTTTTAAAGAAAATTAAACTTTTTTCGTAAATTTTATTTATTCTTTGCTTTTATGCTTAATATCAATTATAAGCTTTTCAAAATATATGGTGTCATATGAAAAAATGCAAAGACTACTTTTTTGATTTTTAATTCAATATTTAAAATTATTAAAATTTTTTTGGGGGTGATTGTAAATGAATTGAAGCTATTGAATATTATGAAAATACAACTGGGGTAATCTTTGATCATTTTAAGAGTCTCGATTGTAAATTAAACACATATTTACAATTGCCCCATTTCATGTACTGTGTTAGGGGTAATTGTCAATAATATTTATATTTACCCATTTTAAATAACAAAGTGCTTGAGGCAAATGTAAAAAATAACAAAATTTAATATTTTAAATCATTTTTTTATTTTTATACCTCTGTATCAGTCTTTTGATAGGTAATTATAGAATTTAATGTAAAAAAAATGAAATTGATATCTTAACATAAATAAACAAATAACTCTGAAACAACAAAGATAATCTTAACTCTGCATCAGTCTTTTGATAAATAGGTTATTAATAATTTAAGTAGATAACATCTTAAAACTAAAATCACTTTTCGTTTACTGTGACAAAAGGAAATTCGTAAATCAATTTCCTTCCTTTCTTTTTCATTTATTTATTTAGAACATTTTATACAAAAATATATATAACAGTCATTATAATAAAATTTAGTGAGAAACAAATAACAAAAGAAAAAATATATATACATAGAAACAGGATATAAATTAAAAAAAAAAAGAAAACATAAATACGGCTTAATTAAAATAATTCGAAAGTTGGATCATTATTAGCCAACCACATAAGGCGAATCATTGAGGCGAAATCTAGGAAATGAAAAAGAGTAGTGGGAATGAGGAAAGTAGTGTTAGAAAGGGTGATGCGAAGTGGGATTTTATATTTTAAATTATCTCCTTATTTCCTTCTTCATTTTCTTTTTTCATCCCTTTCACTATAATTTCATAATCATCATCAACACTTACAACACAACAAACATCTTTATAATGGTGCTTGTTACGAGGACCACCTAAGAAGTGCACCAAAATGTATACCTTTAGTTTTATCAAAGACCATTCAATTTTTTGGTACATTACTTCTTCAAAGTCTAGTGGGTCATCGTTGAAGTAATTTAAAGGGATTGATAAATTACACTGTTCTTCTTTACTAGAAAAACGTGGCCTACCACGTTTTCCAGCTAGTTCTTTCATATTTTTCTTATCTTGAGCTTCTTTTAGTCTATTTAATACTTCTGATATTGTTAAAACTTCTCCATACTTAGCAGTTTTCAGTCTTGGGGTTGGTGTTAGCTACATCAGTGGTAGTAGAGTTTCGTTGTTTATACTGTAAAAGTTGATTTGAAAAAATGCCTACTATATCTATAGGGCTAAAACTATTATAAGGAGTACTTTCAGGCTTCCTAGCATCTTTTCTAAATTTTTGAAGCTGTTTCGGTTTTTTAAAAGTTAATGAAGAGTGTCGTTACATGAATAAATAATACCAGTCATCACCTGGTCTCCCATCTTTAAATGGGGTTTTCAAATTGTTCACATTGATGTACTCACATACTAAATCATTCAACTATCTAACTCATCTTTATCACATAGTTGACCCATTTGTGATCAAGCTAATAGACATTTTTCAATGACGTTTTCAGTCTCTGTTGTCAATGCATTACAGCGACCAATTAAAATATGGTTTAACTAAATTATTTTAATTTATTTATTATTTAAATTTACATTTTATATTATCAAATAATTTTATATGAACGTATTTCACTATTATCGTGAATAATAATGTATTATAACTCAATAAGAAAGACAACAAAATAACGTTGAACTTAATACTTACATTTTTGAATGTAGGGCAGTAGATTGTTGTGAAATACTTTCATTTGACAAACGGAAAAAAATAGGAGTCTTATCAAAAGATAAATTTTACTATCACATAACATCAAATGTTCGTGTTTAAATCATTATATAATATCAAAACCGTTTATACCTTCATACGGATGTCATAAAATGTAAAAAAAATGATAACATAATACTGTAAAATTTTTTTTTTACAATTGCCTCAATTTATAATTACCCCACTTTACCTGATCTGAGAAGTTTTGCATTTATTTGATTAAATTAAATTCAAATTTTTCGCACTTCTCAAACATATATAAACATAATTGTTGACTACTTATAAATATGTTACTATATATTTTATAATATGTAACTATAGGAAAAAATTAAAAATTCTTAAATATTTAAAATCAGAATGTGTATTTAAATTTTACAAAAATGTAAAATAATTAAAATAAGAATTATCTCAAGGAAAATATTTTTTTAAATTAAATTTTATTTAAAAATAATTGTTTATCGAGCACTTTTAGCAGAAGGGTTAGCCTGGCCTAGTGAGTAGAAACGTATGTTTCGGCAAATAGGGTCTCGGGTTCGATCTCCAGAGTACCAACGAGATTTTTTGTGATTTTTCTCATCGGTGGTTAATAGTGTCTAGTGCAAGTCGGAAATAATTCCCATTTCGCCTATCATTGGCTTAGCCAAGTACCATCTTTGACTCCCTAATCTCTGTAGCATTTTATGTTCGGAAAATTAAGGATGTATAACGGATCATATGCTTAAAGCAGAAGTTAGACTGAAATTTCAGGAAAAACAAAATAAATGTAAAACTAAAACATAACACAATCATTCTTAAAAAAAAAAAAATAATAAAGCAATTTTTAGAAAATATTGTTAACTGTCTATATTGTATTGATTATGACTCAATCTTTTATTTCAGAGGAATTAAAACTTTACTTTGTTCCACCAAGTGAGTAATTTATTTGACCATAATTACAGATTCAGACACTGACTACTCTCCAAAAGGTAGACATTATCGGGTTCAATTGAAATTTTTTTGATATTTAATGCCGAATTTTAAAACTGCAGTTTATTTTCTTCTTGAGTGATATATTTGTAACATTTGCAGGCAATGACATAAATGATGTATTAATTCGAGAAAAAATAATTCGACAAAATCTCACTCTATATTTTAGTAAGAATACTTTCTTTGAAAATTAATTTTTTCAAAAACTAAATTTATTTAATAAAAATTGATCACTCGTGGCTATTTAATTAAGTAAAATTAAAACTATATTACAACTATTATTAATTTAAAAAACTATAAAATATTAAACTTAAAAGCCTCAAAAAAGGCAATTTTCCCTCTACTTCTTGTTTATATGTGAATTTAATCGATTGAGAAAAAGAATTTAAATGTTCTATGAAAACCTCCATATTAAAATCTTTATTTATAACTGCAAAAATTTCATCTACATACCTAACCCAAATTTTTGGAAAATCACCATAAGTGTGTTTTAAATTTGTTTCAAACCTACTCATGAAAAGTTCTGCTAAAAATGGTGATAGCGGATTTCCCATTGCTGTGCCTTCAGTTTGCTCATAAAATTTATTTAGAAATAGGAAAAAATTTTGACTCTTACATAACTTTGTTAAATTAATAAGCTCATTTATTTTATCCTGTTCAATGTTTTGTTTCTTTAGCCCACTTTGGCCTACTGAAAATGCATTATTAAACTTGTGTTTACTGGCAAAATGTGATAATATTACTTAGTGATGACGTCACTAGGGGTACATAAGAGAGTTTTTTTTTAGTCGGGGTGTCAGTATGTGTTTAGCGTTGATAATAGTAACATTGTTTCCGAAATACGTATCCGCGACTTTTCAGTAATTTTTTGTGGCTTTTGAGTTAAATATTTTTAATATTTTTTAGTTTTTAAATTAATAATGTTTTTAATATAGTTTTAATTTTACTCAATTAAAGTTATTATTGTAGGTAGTAAAATTATTTATATAGTTTTATATTATTTATATATGAATACATTAAGAAAAGATCTAAAGATTCATAAAGAAAAGTCTTACTTCTTAATTATCTTATAATTGGATTAAATTGTTTGAAATCCAAAAAGTCTGTTTATATAAACTAGTAAAAATTGATTTCAGTAAATAAAGGAAAACCAATAGAGGAACCTGAGAATTATATTTATTATGAAGGTAAGTTTTATCTAATGAATTTCAAAAATGAGTTTTTGTGATAAAATTATTTAGTTTCTTTATAGCATTGATTTTTCTACATAAAATACGCAATGAACAAATTCGATAAAAAAAATTTATAAATGGTGTTATTGACAAATCTAAGAAATTTTTATCCAGCGAATACTTTACGTACTTTTTTCGCTTCTATGCGAAGCTGAGAAGTTATAAGTTTTATTATGATGTATTTTTTATTCCTATTATTTTTTTTTGTGTCTGTTAACACTTTTTCTAAGCTCTCACCGAACCGATTTCTTTCAACAATGCATCATAAGATCAAAAAACAAAATTTTTTTTACTTAAAACTTCTATAACTTTTTTAACAATGAACAAATGAATATATATTTTTTTATAGATGCATAATGTCTTTACTTATCATTTGATATATTATTATATAAATCTGACCCTTTACCTGCCCATAGGAGGATTCAAAATGACAATTTTTTCACAAAAAATTATCTTTTTTAACTTAAGTTATGAAAGTGTTCCGGAAATACCTTTATATATATCTTAAATTTAAGCTTATGTAATATACTTTAAAAAAATAAAATGTAATTTAAAAATGAAAAAAAAATTTTGAATTTATTTTGTCTTCTGGCGAAAACTGACAACAAATATAATAAAAAAAAACCAAGCACAGTGGGGTCGGGGCATAGTGGGGATGTTGCATAGTTGGGTCCAGTATAGATTTAATCTGACAGTGATTAAAATCACTATCATAAGAAACGCTTCGATGCAAATCAGTAGATAGTGTTTAATTCTAAGAAATTGGTGGATAATTACAAAAGCTACATTATCTGCTAGTTTCTTATTAATACCCTGATTAAGATAAAGTATGTCGAATGAAAAAGGGATTATTAAAAAATATTATTTCTCATAAAAAAATTGTGTTGATTCGTACACTTTTCAATGAGTTATAGCATTATAAAGTTAAAAATGTAACCAACCCAACCCAACATCAACTCCTATTTCCTTAATTATATCCAGATTAGTAATTATTTTAATTATATATTATATAATTTTTATAATTAATTATTTTCAAATTATTATTGATTTTTAATATGTTAAAAGTAATCATTTTGAACCTACTTCTTTTTGTTCTTTAAAGTGAAAGTTTTAATAAAAAAAAAATGAATTTATTACCATAACTTTTAACTCAACTTGCAAGTTTGAAATAANTGAAATTATATAATATTCATGAAAGTCAGTTTATTCCCCTAATAAAATATTTTAAAATAAAATAAAATACAAAACCCTCATCGAAGCTAAAAAATAGCATATTTTTAAATACGGTAGCCTTTTGCGCATAGAAGATAGGTCGTCGGGACAAATTTTTTTTTTTCATTTAATAGTACATAAAATAAGCTTTAATTTGATATATGTTTAAAGGACGCAGTATTTCCGGAACATTTTCAAAAATTAAGTTGAAAAAATTAGTTTTTGTAAAAAAGTTGCAATTTTAATTCCCCCCCCATGAGCAGGTTAAATGTCAAATTTTCAAAAAAATTATATCAAATGAAAGGAAAATATCTAAGGTTTAAGTTAAAAAAAAATTATGTTGATTTGTTGATTTTTGAAAAAGTTATGGAAGTTTTAAGAAAAAAAAGTGATAAAAGTGACAAAATTTGTCGATTTTTAAATTTGTAATTTTTTTGGATATTTCCCCCATTTGCGGGGAACGAGGGAAAATTTTTAAATTTTTAAGGGTAATGTCTTCAACTAGATACAATTTGTGATCTTTTGACGTATTGTTAAAAGAAATCGGTCCAGTGAGAGCTGAGAAAAAGTAGTGACAGACACAAAAAAAAAAAAAAAAA